TTTGCAAGGTCTACCTGAATACCCTTATCACTGAAAACAAAACCCAGAAGCTTACCAGACCTTACCTCGAAGGTACACTTGTTCGGATTCAACCTCAGCTTATACGTCTTCAACCTGTCAAACAGTTTCTGGAGATGATCAAGGTGCCCTTCCTCCGTCTGGGACCTGGCTATCATGTCATCAACATAAACCTCGACCTCGTGGTGAATCATATCATGGAACAAAGTGACCATGGCACGTTGATTTGTTGCCCCAGCGTTCTTCAACCCAAAAGGCACTACCTTGTAACAGAAGGTTCCCCAATGTGTAACGAAGGTTGTCTTCTCCATGTCCTCAGGAGCCATCTTGATCTGGTTGTAGCCAGAAAAACCATCCATGAAGGAGAAGATCTTGTGTTGCGCGGTGTTTTCGACTAGAACATCAATGTGAGGAAGTGGGAAGTCATCCTTGGGGCTGGCCCTGTTCAGATCTCTGTAGTCCACACACATCTGTACCTTACCATCCTTCTTAGGTACCGGGACGACGTTGGCAACCCATTGTAGATAAGAAGTGACAACTAAGAATCCTGCGTCGAACTGTTTCATGACCTCTGCCTTGATTTTCTCTGACATCTCAGGGCGCATACGGCGGACCTTCTGCTTTACCGGAGGGCAGCCTTCTTTAGTCGGTAGGCGATGTACCACAATATCAGTGTCCAAACCAGGCATGTCTTTATAGGACCAGGCGAAGATCTCAACATAGTCGTGTAGCATCTGTATTAACCGTTACATGACACTAGGCTCCAGATTCGCACCTATCTTAACCTCTTTCTTGTCTTCCTCTGTACCCAAATTTACTGATTCAACTGGCTCTTCATGAGGCTGTATGGCCCTTTCTTCCTGCTGTAACAGTCTAGCAAGTTCTCCAGGCACCTCACAATTATCCTCACCTTCGTCCTCGGCTTGGTTGATCGGATTTTTAAAGTCATAACTGGCAATAGCAGAGCTGTTGTCAATGGGATCCAGAGTGGATATGGATCTGCAGTATGATACGTAAGTGTGTGTAAGAGCATAACTATTTTGATAAAGTGAGAGACAGAAAAGAAAAACAAGGAGCGTAAAATTTGTATGCAAGAAATGTCCAATGCTTTATTAATGATATATGAAATGACAAATAATAGCCCTCACAAACAAAGCCAAGGTGCCTTGGGCAAGGCATCGGGCCGTAAAGTTTCAAACTATTTATTACAAATCTTAAAACAAAAGTCAATTACTGCCGAATAAAAGAAACGGGTATGGAGTCCCTGGCCGTCTAGTTATTCGGTCCACCGTTGGTTGTTGGGTAGATCCAGCTGTCAACATCCGGGTTCTCATCATCAGCATCTTCTGTGGCGGAGATAACCTCAATAGCATTGATTCCCGAGCCATGCTTGGGCATGGGTGCAGTTATGACGTTGGGCTTCACCGGAGTGTCAAACTCAATCTCTTTGGCTTCGATCAGGTCCTGCCCTTATTTTTCAGGGCTCAACAGTCGTTTGTATCATGACCTGGACTTTCGGAGTGATAAGCGCAGCGGGCATTTGGGTTATAGCGGAGAGATGTGGTGTTGGGGTTCTTCGGGGCTTCCCTCAGAGTTACCAGATTGATCTTCAACAATTGTGGTAAAATTTGAGACAAAGTCATATTGAGCCGGGTGAACTGCCTCTGTGGTCTTTCCACTCTTTGTTGATTGTTGTGTTGTGGAGCAACTGCGGGTCTTGATATCACTACAACATTTACCGTTTAACGGTGTTCAGATCTGCTTTGGACCCTCGGGCTATAGACTACACTAGCTTCCTTCTTACCAGTGAAAGGCTTCTTTACCGAACTCGAAGAGGCATCCTTTTGTATTTTACCACTTCGAATTCCAGCTTCTACTCTTTCTCCAATCAAAATCAGTTCAGTGAAACCAAATGACGAACTGTCGATCAAGTGATTAAAAAACGGACCAGATAGTGTCCCCAGAAACATGTCGACCAACTCCCTATCAGACAACGGGGGTTGAACTCTTCCAGCTAAGTCTCTCCATTTCTGAGCATAGTCTTTAAAACCTTCACATGCACCCATGGACATACCCTAGAGCTGAGTAGGAATGGGAGCAAGGTCGGCGTTATACTGATACTGCTTGTAGAAAGCAGCAGCAAGATCTTCCCAGTTTCGGACATTGGCTCCCTCCAACTGGTAGAACCATTCAAGCTAAGTCCCTGACAGACTATCTTGAAAGAAATGCACCCACAAATTTCTATCAACGGTGTGGGGCTGGATTTTTTGGACATAAGAGCGGAGATAGAGCTTTGGGCAGGACGCTCCATCGTACTTGGCAAAAACCGGAGCTTATGCAAGAAATGCACCCACAAATTTCTGTGTCATTCTCAGAGAGTCAAACATGTTTTTGGCTGTCTCTCTGTTTGAGATTTCTCATACTCTGAGTATGAGATGGCACTGAGAAGAATTGTTCTGGCCTTATGATGGTTTCTGAAGTCACTCTTTTGTTGGTTAGTCATTCTTTTTCTATCTATCTTCTGACCACTTTCATCCACTGGATGCATGTATCCATCAATTACCATATCCCATAAGTCAGCACCATGAGCCAGAAAGAAGCTCTCAATTATATCTTTTCAGTAGTCAAAATTTTCTCCATCAAAGACTGGAGGTTTGCCGCTGATTCTGTCCTTATCATCATAATGGTCATTGCTGATGTTTTGGCTTGGTCCCACCATAGTGTTTTTCTAAAGCTTGGATCTTGTACTGACACGGTTACGTGTATGAACTCAGAACCAGGCGCTCTGATGCCAATTGAAAAAGTGAAAAACACAGGGGGGGGGGGTTGAATTGAAACTTAAAAATCAAAAGCAATAGACACAATGATTTTTATCCTGGTTCGCTTGATCTCAAACTACTCCAGTCCACCCGCCAAGGTGATTTCGCCTCTCTCCAATGAGGACTTAATTCACTAATCAAACTGATTACAATTCTACTTTGACAACTGCCAAAGTCTTCTTGAGTACAACCACAAACCGGTTTATCTTAAGGAAAATTACTTAATCAAAAGAAAAGATTTACTGTGTACTATTTGTTTTTCTTTACAAAAACTGTATCACTACTATGATGTATTACACAAATTGAGTATAGTATGAATATGACTTTTTGCAGACTTTTGAGATTGTATGGAGTAGTTGTATGAAATCGTAAATGATTTACTCTTTGAACTTGTTTATATAGGTGTGGAAGTCTGTCCAAATGGAAACATGATAATGGACACTTAATGCACTTTCCATACTGAGAAGATCCTTGTCTGAATGTAGCCGTTGCACATGATACTGCCTTAATGGAAAAATAACGCTTCAGATCTTAGGAATCTTGCATGCTGCTTTACTTCACAACTTGGGAAGTCAGAAGCATAAGGTTTTGTTAACGTGTTGGACTTCTGTTCAGAATCAGAATATCTTTCTCCTTAGCGTAGATTCTGATCATCATGCTTCAGAATGTTCTGATTACTCAGCTTGAGTGCTTCTATGGCTTAACTTCCGATGCCGTTTCAGTCAGAACTTCTGTTCAACATAAAATATAAATTTAGAGTGCATATTTGTTCTTTGTGTTTGTTATCATCAAAACTCTTATGAGGGTTGTAGAATCAAACTATGTTCTAACAAAACTTAGTGTTGATTGCTAAAGAAACCTTCTCTGCAAAAACTCTCAGATGAGACGAGAAACTCGCTCCAGCTTACGGATCAGAATCTATATCATTTATGCATCTTTTTGGATAATGTATTGGCAACGTCGGTCGTTGTTAACTCAACATTTCTCAATGTCGAGTATCCAACGCAATTAGTTTTTCATATTGTAATCGACGATGTCAACTATGAAACAATGTAAACAAGGTTTCTCGATAACGACTTTAAAGGTGCAAGGTGATAATTATCTCTTATTGAGTGGTCATCTCTTGAGTTATAAAGATATAAATTCATTTGAATATATATGGGATACATCATTTTCTTTTGATCCTGTAAATGATGTTACAAGTACTCTTCTGTCCCATATTATAAACAAAAATTACTTTAAAATTTTATTTATTTATTGATCAATTATTAAAATAATTCTTTATAACCTACTTACATAAAAAAACAAATATTTATCAGAGGCAAAAGCAAACGATGAACACATAAATTACTTTAAAAATAATTTATTATATAATCATATATTTTACAAAATTTAAGATGTACATAAGTTCTTTAGAAAACCATGTTTAAAATATTTTAATTTGGAAGAGTATTAAATTCACCTCTCATAATATAAAAACTGTTTTTATTCATGAGCAAGTTCTGATGCGGCGAAGAGGAAGCTGAATTGCAAGTTTAGTATTTTAATATCTAAGTCAGTGAAGAAAATAAAGAATAAAGTGTGAGTTGAAATTAAGTTCTTTAAGGGATTCATGCTTCACTACTTGGAATGTGGGAGATTATTAGTACTTATAATTTCTTTATTGAGTACTTACTATTTTTTTAAAAATACAATTCATATTTTCTTGTTATATACTATCAATTCTTATACATGATTATTTGAAAGGTGAATTCTCTATTATCTGCATTACTATTTTAGTTAGTTATGGATATAGGTAGAATAGAGAGATCTAATGAAAAGATATATAGATGATATTGAGGATAAATAGCACAGTTGAATGCAAATGGACATAATTCAATAGGTAAATTAGTTTAATAACACATATATTTTATACAATTTTAATATGATTTAATGAAATAAATAAAATTAAGTAACGGAAAAAAAAGAGAGATATAAAAAGTGTGACACCAAAGAAGAAACTATTTGCACCCCTCACTTCAACGTTTTAGCAATACAATTGTGCCAAAAAATTCTGCACTTTAATTGTTGGGTATAGCTTAAAAGCAAGACAATAAATTGAACTATTGATTTCTTGAACCAGTTTCTGATTTTGAAGTATCCAATTGAAGCATGTTTTATCTTCTATCGGCCTTCTTGAAAACTACTTTCAAGTTGCACACTTGAAGAAGCTGTGTTAGATAGGTTTTTACGTGTAAAAAAGGTCGGTTGTTTAGGAATTGGAAGGATTGTTGTTTCATTGTCTAGCATGGTAACTACATTTGACATGTGAGGACGATTTTCTGGTTCATCTTGTACGCATAAGAGTCCTATTTGTGAACACCTAATGAATTGGTAAGCATCATAAGTATCACATAGAGATGAATCTATTAAATCTTGCAGTTTTTCTTCTCTCCATAGTGTCCAGGCCTGGTATGAAGACATAGATATCTTAAGAAAAGTTCAATATATAGTATAAGAAAAGAATTCAATGTAAAGGGTGGAACATACATAACCCAAAAGGCTTGAAATTTCTTTAGTTCGATAAAATCCCGTGTTCTTTTTTCCACTGATGATTTCAAGCAAGACAACACCAAAACTGAAAACATCTGATTTTGTAGAGAATTGTCCATCTAATGCATACTCGGGAGACATGTATCCACTACACACAAAAGTCACCCATATGCAAGTAGCGAATACAACATATCTAATCAAATTATGTTGAGAGATTCATAATAAGTGTTATCTTAATATTCTTAATTTTTTTCAATAAAAGAATTAATATTTACAAAAAAAATTCATATGTAAGAGAAAGCCGAAAATAGGAGAAAAATAATACTAAGAATTGAACTTACTATGTTCCAACAACTCTCTCGGTATTTGCTTCTGTTTCTTTGCCTCCAAATATTCTCGCCAATCCAAAATCTGATATTTTTGGTTGCATCTCCTCATCTAGAAGAATGTTGCTAGTTTTTAAATCTCGATGAATAACTCTAAGTCTAGAGTCTTGATGAAGATAGAGTAGTCCGCGAGCAATTCCAAGAATTATATCAAACCGCATTTGCCAATCTAAAATTATGCTTTTTGCAGGATCTTTGAATATTTTAATTTTCCATTAGAAAAAAGAAAATCAATACTTGGTATAAATAAAACACTTAAAAGACCGCATCTAATCAAAAAGAGATTTAGAAACCAACCGAAGATTAATAAGTCCAAACTCTTATTAGGCATATATTCATAAAGTAATATTTTTTCTCCTGGTTTTATGCAATAGCCGCGTAATTTAACAAGGTTTCGATGTTGAAGTTTGGCAATCAAAACAACTTCATTCTTAAATTCCTGTAAACCTTGTGATGACACAGTTGAAAGCCTCTTCACTGCAATTTCTTGACCACCTTGTAGCGTACCCTAAACAAAAAATTCAGATACTTTGCATAAAAACTAGATAGTAATGTTGTTAGCTCATTTGAATTTCGTGTGTAACATAGTAACTAATTAAAGTTGTAACAAATGAAGGTATATTTTATTAATTATCAAAACCTAAATTGAAAATTTCATATAACTTGTTGGTTAAGGAATCAACCTAACTAACTAACTAACCATTTGTTGAAACTAACTATTTCATTGGACTATATACCCGCACAAGTGTAATACCTAATATGCCACAACCCCTCAAACTTCTAGATGCTTGATATGCACACCTCTTTTGCAGTCATATTGCTATATTTGAATGTCCATTTCTTTGACAACTTTAACTTCAATATCAACTTCTTGTGTGAATCAAACAATTAGAGTGTATCATCACTCATGGTTATTGAAAAATCCTTTTCTACCATTTACCTTATACCTATTAGGTTGCACTTCACTCCAAATACATGGAGTATATTTTTAATAAGTGCATCCTCCCCATCTTTTCTTTTGATAACAATGTCACATATGCCTTCTAGTGCAAAGTCACTGTTATTTGCAAGTATGACATTGATTTTCTTTCTTGAGTCAAAATCTATGAGGCATTCCTTGTGTCCAGTCATGTGATTTGAACATCCCGAATCATGATACCTTAACTCACACATATAATTTCCTTCACATGTTGTGCCAATTAAGAAAACAACTTTAGAATCATAGATATCTTCACGAGCTATAAGGACATGTGATTCTTCTTCCCATATTTCTTGTGCCAACATTCATCATCGAAATAGCCAAACTTTTCACAACTGTAGCATTGCACCTTCCTTTTATCAAATTCTTTCTTCTTTGATTGGTTGATTCTATAGCCTCCCCCTCTTTTGGAGGATTCAACTTTGTCATCAATCTTTGGTCTTCCATTGTTTGACCAATTTGCATTCTTGAAGCTTTCTTTTCCTTTCTTTTTGAACTTCTTGTCATGACCGTTTTTCTTCATCACTATAAATGGCAAGGCTTCTTGAACCGATCTCTTAGTTCCTTTATCAATAACAATGAGTTCATGAGCCTCCAATAAAGTATGCAGTTCTTTTATCTTCATGATCTTTAAATCTTTGGGTTCTTTGAATTTTCACCACTATGAAATCAAATCTTAAACTCAAATGTCTCACCACTTTCTCAACCACTTGCTGATTTGTGATAGTCTCACCATATGTCTTCATATTATTCACAACTACAATCAATTTAGAAAAGTAATCACTTATCCTTTGATCATCTTCTATCTGCATCAGCTCATACTCCATCTTGCTTCACATTTTCTCCACCGTCATGTTCTTCTTGAGGATATCTCATGTCTCATTTAATTTTGAGACCTTTGAAATCTTTTCAAAATGATGAACATCCATATTTTTTAGTATAGAACAAAACCTTGCAATCTTCTTCTTCGAACCTTGAATGTGACTCTTTGTGCATATGTGGGTTCTGCTTCCAGTTCTTCATAGCCATTATGCACCATCTCAAGCACATCTTTAGCTCAAGGCAATGACTTCATTAAGGCACTCCATCTTTTCCCAGTCACATCCATCAAGAGTCAAGATGTTAGAAGGAAATCTATCATTTATGTTCATGATTGCTGCAAAGACCCTTGAAAAATTAACACACCTCACCAAGGATTTCCCAATTCAGCGATTCCCTCACGGTTCTCTCGTGTTCCTCTTTGACATAACCAAAATCTCGCGATGTCAATTGTTACTGTAATGAGGTTTCTAGTGCAGCAAAGTAACTGACTAAAGTTGTAACAGATAGTTGTATATTTATTAATTCTCAAAATGGAATTTACATATAGCTTGTTGGTTAAGTATTCTACCTAACTAACTTACTAACCACTTGTTAGTTAGTTTAAGCTACTAACAAATTTAGTTACAAACTATCTAGCAAGACTATATATCCGCACCAGTGTATAATATATATAGAAAGATAAAATGGAGGGAAAATCAATCACCTTGTAAACTGGTCCATAACCACCTTTTCCAAGTTTATTTGCATCTGAAAAATCATTAGTTGCCATCACTATGGTCTCAAAATCAAAGTAAGGAACCTCTATTCCTTCATTGTTATTCTCTTCCAACCCCTCCATGTCTATCAAGTCCTTCACACGCCTTTCACTGTCGGTAAAACGCCCTCTAATATTTATCTGATTCCTTTCATTGTCTAAATCATTAAAGCAAAATATTAGACAAGATTGAACTCACAAAGATTCAAATATTTCAGAAACAATAATTAAAATAAGAAAATAATAACTACCTTGCTTCACCATATGAGCTATTCTCCGTCTGCATACATAAACCAAAATAATGATGCATGCTAGAATAACCACACCCGGAAGAGTTAAGCCGAGAATCAAAGAGGAAGAGCTTGCTTTTTTTGAGTGTTTTGTAGCATTAGGAAAGGATCCGGGTTCTGAAAAATCTGCAGAGAACAAATTAACCCTTGTTCAACTTCAAACTTAACTTATAATCCAAATTTTAGCAAAATAAGAAAATTCTTAATATTGTTAAGTTACATGATTATTAATACTTACTTTTGGTACAACTTAAAAGCTCTCCACTCCAATGATAGTCTTCATTGCAATGACACCTGTTTCCTTTACAAGTAGAATGTTTCCAACCTTGGCAATCAGTAGAGTTATCACATATGGGTTCTTTGGAAGGTGGTTCCCAATTAACTTCCACCTTTTTAGAGCATGTGTCAGTAGACAAGCCAAATGGTGAAGAAACCTTTAGATCTCCCGCACCCTTCGATCCTTCACCACAAAATCGATTAATCGAATTATCCTTGAACTCTTGATAAATGGTAAACGTTCTTGAACCAGGCACTACACGAATAACACTGTAATTAACGTTGCTGTTGTTGTTGTTGGTATTGTTGGTGAAGCTGAGTTGACCGACGGAGGTGTTGCATCTGAAGTTGAAGTATGTGGGGTCTCCACAATTGGGTCGGGTACTAAGAGGATAAGGAACTGGGTTTGTACCACAAGGTTCACAAGTTCTTGGAGTTGGTGCTGCAAAAGTGAATATGTCATGAATCTTTACAGTTATAAACAAATATAAAATATATCTTTAATTTTATCATAAATACCTATGTCTGATTTATCAACAAGGACATAGAGTCTGCGATCATCCTCCCAATTGGTATAGTCTTCTTTAAGAGTAGTTAAACTGTGTGTCCAGATCCAACAGTTTGATGGATTATTAGCGCGCTGGTGATCGGTAGGAGGTGGAGCATATGAATAGGCCTGGCAATGTGGACACATCTCCAGGCACATAGATGTGCAATTTTCTACGTACTGCGCTCCTAACTTTTTATCCGGCCTTCCTGTTTTTATCTTGGTCAAGTTCAAGAAAGCCGTGTCATTTCCAGTACACGGTGCTGATTTTCTCCTCGTACAACTTGCCTCGTCTAGTAGAGAATAGTCTCCATCTCCCAGGCTATCCTTGTAGAATCCAGGTAAACATTTGCAGAGGTAATCACCATCGATGTCGTTGCAGCTAGCAAAGTTTCCACAAAAATTATATCTCAAACAGTTAGTTTCTGGCTGCATCCATCTAACCAACGGTTCGCCTACCAACAAATTGACTTCCGCCCACTTAAGCATACCTGCTGGATGGAGGAACAACCTTGTATTGTCGTATCGTTCCATAGGAATTAGTTTGCTCAGTATAGGCAAGCTCATGTTGGTCAACAAGTTGTAAACCTCTAAGCTGATATCATCAACCGCACCATTATTTACTTCAAAATTCATCGTTCCGTACCCTTCGCTCTCCCAATAAATTTGGTCGTTGTTTGAGATGATAAAACGGTTGACCCCATTTTGTTCCATCTTAAAACTGAAATTTCCACTTGTTGGGTCATCACCACTTCTCCAACTTGTCAGTTTCATATTCCCATCCATCTTCATTCCGGGTAGGAACGTGTGCGTTGGATTTTCAAAACTCTCCCAGATCGTCACTTCATCATCATCATCATCATATAACACAAGGTTACCAGAATCCATGAGTTTCACTGTCAAGTTTTTAGGTGAAGAATTAGAAGAAACTTTGCCTTTGGAATTGGATTTGGATGACCAGTAGGTTTCATTATTACCGGAAGTGTCTACAACAACAAGATTCCCATCCTCAGCTACTTTGAAAACACCTGTTGAATTAACAGCTACTGGGTTGTCTCTATTAGCAACCCACACGACTATTTGATTTTGAGGTTGTTCTAACTCCTCTTGCATGTGATACCATATGCCTAAGTAGCTTTGTGAACCACCAGCGGTGATGCTAGGAGTAAAAAAGCCTAGTTCAAATACTTTTCCAGATGAAACAAGGTTGGTTTCATTGCCTATGATCTTCTGCCCAGCTTTCAAAGTATCGCCTGCGAAACACGTTGGAGAAGAACATATTAGAAACCAAGAAGCATAAAAGTTGAACAAGAGAAAAACAGTTCTCATGTTACTTGACCTTAAACTTCTCAGATCAAAAGACTCTGGTTTTTGGACCTCGCACTCACATGCTACCTACCTTTTTAGTTTGACATTGTCAGCTAGTTGTTTTTTCTCACAATGTCTTTTTGAGTGAAGCTCGCACTTACATATTAAAAAAACAATGTTATTTGTAACTACCTGTATTACTAGTATTTGGCTCATTAATCAAGCTTTATTAAGATTACAATGATCTATTTAAGAAATATTTCCTTGTAAAATATTTTGTTAAAAGAGCTTTTGTTTTTTTCTTCCTTCTACATCATTTTTAGAGATGTGAAAATAGGTTATCCTACCGTGACAAACTGGTTTGTTGCATACTCAATTTTTATGTGAGTGGTGTCCTTTCAATACTATTGTCTCTTGATCGATGGATCTTATTTATCTATGTGTCTTTTTCTCGTGGAAAATGTGCTTATAAATATGAATTTTTTCCCGACATATCACATTATTTTTGAAACAAATTACTGTAGTACCATCTATTTTAACCATTATTTTCAATATTGCTTTTGTTCAAACAAAAAAAAAAATTGTAGAAAAAACCTCCGTCCATTAGATTAGTGGACCCTTTATAATTTATACAACTCCCGTCCATTTAACGTAAGTGTTAATGTTTCGTTTTTTTAATATAATATTAAAAATAAATAAAAATTATAATTAAAATAAAAATTAATATTAAAAATAATATTTAAAAATAAGTTTAAATTAAAAAAAATGTTAATCATAGTAAAAAATAAATATTAAAATAATTAAAATTTGTTTAAATTAAAATAAAAATTAAACATAATAATTATTATATTAAAATAGCTTTTATTGTTTTATTATTTAAGTACGGCTCTTCACTGCAATGAACGAAGACTTTATTTATTTTATTATTTAAATACGGTCCAGTCACTGTAATTGACGGAGACTTTTATTATTTTATTATTTAAGTACGGCTCCGTCACTGCAATGTGGAGATGCTTTCATTATTTTATTATTTAAGTATGGCTCCTCCACTGCAATAGGCAGAGGCTTTCATCATTTTATTATTTAAGTACGGCTCCGCCACTGCAATGGACAGAGGCTTTCATTATTTTATTATTTTAAAATTTTGCTGCGAACTATAAATATCATTGATGTTGAATGATCCTAGCTACACTCAAAATACTTTTCTTTAGTTCTATCTTAAAAATGTCTTAAACAGGCGGAGAGTTCTCAATGTTTCCATATATGAAAAGAGATGTTAAACTGATTTTTTCTCCTGTAAAGCCTTCGATGAAGATTAAGTTGTTGAACACATAGACATTTGAGCATCTACAAAGGCACTTTGAGGGATGGTTAGGAGAAAAAATTGCACAAGGTGAAAAGATCCAGAAAATTGAGAGATTAGTTACGGTGCCCGGCTTGAATGGACCTACTCGTTCTTGGAGACTTGTTCACAACGATGCATGTGTCCTTATGATGATGCTTCAACAAAAAGATATTGTGTTATTGGTTGTAATATCCTAGAAATGGTTATGTGTTTGTTTGAACTTGTTGATATCGTTTAGGTTAAATGTTGTTGTTAAGTTCTTCTATTTGTTTAAGTATTTTAATTTATGTGTTGTTTTTTGGAATTGTTATTTATATTAAATGCATAAGTATTAGTGGCACAAAACATAATTTATTGGCGTCATTATACATACAACTTTGAAGATTGATAACAAAATGAATAACTAATTATTACTAGTTCCTACATTGGGCCATCGCGTTCGGTTGTGACCCGAAAAATGACACAATGTGCATTTTCTCTCCAACTTATCATACGCGTCCATTTCTGTTGTAATACGGGTGCTCACAGGATGACCTTTATTGTTTCTCCTCATGATTGAATTATGGCAAGTTTGATCTCTCTCATAAGTGGGTCAATACTCATCGTACGGTAGAACTGGAAAGCTCGTGCTGTAAACCCTAAATAAGTTTGTCACCTTGTAAACGTCAAACAATAGAAGATAGGCATCTTGGCGCACCACAGAACATGCAGCGATAACATGTCAACAAGGAACACGGTATGCTTGAAACTTTCCACAGTCACACCAACCATCTATTAGGTTGACCGTATAACGTCCCAATGGCTTCCCCTCACTGTGGTCAATTGTGTCCTTCACACTGAAAGTGTTATTATTGTAGTGAAAAATGCTTACTTGATGCGTGGTGGATTTTGATGTCTCTTCTTTCATCACTTTCACGCACCGCTCGGTAAATGTTTGTCCAGAATTCAAAACTACACTCCACTTTGCACCCCTTTCAGCAAAGAGCATTCTCATCCTATAGTATGTTGCACGTACCAATGTTGTGATGGGAAGATTATGAGTTCCTTTAAATACAGAATTCAGTGACTCAACAAGGTTCGTTGTCATGTGCCCTAAACGACGACCCTCGTCAAATGCCCTCGTCCATTTTTCAACTAGAATTTTGTCTATCCACCTCAAAGCATCGCCATTAGTCGTTCCAATTTCATTACAATAATATTTAAACGTTGGTTGGTTTAAAGAATACCCTACATGTTATAAAAAATATGGGTTAATATTATGGTATACTATCAACAAATATCTAATGTTTACATAAAATATACTTACCCGTGTTGATTATTTTTTTTGGAGGTTACGGTCCTTGATATCCTTCATAAAATTTTATGCAATATGTCTGATACAATACACATGGACAAATGGAGTGTTATGCCAACCATTTTCAGGATTTTTATATGAGCTTTTGATAGATGTATGCCGGTCGGAAATCAAACACAAGCTAGGTTGAGGAGCTACATGCATTCTCAAGTTTTTTTAGAAAGAAACCCCAACCATCCGCCGTCTCACCTTCCACAAGAGCGAAGGTAACTGGGAAAATATTATTGTTTCCATCTTGTGCTACCGTCATTAGTAGTGTACCTTTGTACCTACCATATAACCAGGTACCATCAATCTGTAGTATACGCTTGCAATATGCAAAGCCTCGTATGCATGGTTGGAAAGCCCAGAATAGTCGATGGAAGATTTGTTTCCCAGCAACAATAGTCTCGTCATCTGTATATAACAGAAGTGTTTGCATTTCTACCACTGTGCCTGGAACAAAATTCTTAAGGGATAACAAGTAATTTGGAAGTTCATTGTATGAATTTTCCCAATTACCGTACACCTATTCGATTGCTTTATTTCTAGCAATCCATGCTTTCTTGTAAGAGGGAGTGTATTTGAAAAAAGAAACAATTTTGTTAATACATACGCTCACCTTTATAGAGGGATCCTTATCAACAAGAGGCATTAATCGTCCACTTATCAATCAAGAGCTTAGTTGTCGATGATCCTGATTAAAGATAGTCGTTGAACAACTGTGTGGGGGCTCCATGATTCCTATCTCCCATAGGTCGCTCCTTTTCCTATAGGTGCCTCTGCATGCATCATAATTCACGTACAAAAGCCATGCATGTCAATTTTAATTTTCCCAACCATCTTCTTATTTCCATTAAATATTTTTTCTTATCTATTTTCTCTATAAATACCATTCAATTTTCCATAATTCTACACCAAAATCAATCTTCATCCACTCTTTCTCATCATAAACACAACTCTTGATATAATGTCTTTGTTAACTTATGGAGAGGATCATCGAGGAACATTGTCAAACATACTCCAATATGTAAGTGTATTGAATATATTTACGTATGAAGTTTTTTCCAATTGTTAGTTTTTGTTTACTTTTATTATTACTTTCGAACCATCTTCTAACATAAACTATTTTAGTTTTTAGAATGAGAAAAAGTTTAGGCCTCATACACACTCATATGTGTCCGTAGATGAAATGATCCGTCCATATTTGATACAAGCGGGCTTCGGGCACGTTATCAACATAACCTTATACGGTGTTGATAGAAAATTTATTCTCGCTTTATGTGAAAGATGACGGCCAGAAACACACATGTTCCATCTTCCTACCGGTGAATCCACAGTCACACTTGAAGATGTTCATATGTTGATGGGTTTACATGTAAACGGTGTGGTAGTGAATGGCAAAGCAAATGTAAACTACTCCATAACTTAAGAACTTTTGGGTGAAGAATTTCCCGAAAGAGTTAGAAAGGGACAATTCGTTAAAATGACTTGGCTCCGGGAAAAATATGACGCATTTGATTTAAATAAAGATTCTACCACCAACCAAATTCATAAGAAAACTAGAATTTATATTTTATTGTTTTTCGCTGGTTTATTATTTCCTGATACTAATGGTAATATAATATATCTTATGTATTTACTGTTATTAGCTGACTTTAATAAAATAGATAGATACAGTTGGGGATCTGCAGTTTTATCGCATCTATATCAAAACCTGTGTAGATACGCTAAAAAAGAAGTTCATAATTTTGCTGGTTGTTCAACACTACTACATGCTTGGGGATGGTCAAGGATGTCGAATATAGCGCCTAGGAATTGTAATCCGTTTCACTTTCCATACGCAACTAAGTAAGTTGAAACTACTCTTTTGTCTTAAACTTATTTACTATGTGAACAACATTTAAGTATTATTTATTTTTAGATGGTCTACCTATGAGATGGATTACGAAAAGACTCCTCATCATTGTTGTAATACAGTGAGAGAACTGACTTGGGATGTTTTGTGTTTAATCGCAAATGTTGCGGTTAGCAAGAGTCACCACCGACTTTTCTTTTATCCAAAAGGAAAGACTGAAAAGAACAAGAAAGACCTTTGAGATTATTTTCTTGAGTTTGGGGGGTATATTATGAAAAGGGAAGGTATTAGCACCCGTTTCATCCATAGTTATCTATGGTCTCTTAGTTGCTTTCTAGATCACTTGCTTTTTTTTGAAAGTGTGCTTTGTGGTGGTTTTTGAAAGTATTTTTGAAAAGGCGCCTTCGTTTAGGCGAACTTTGTAATGGTTCTCGTTTGTAAGAACGTATACAAAGTGTTGGACTTTTGAAAATATTTCATGTTTT